GTCCGCCAGGGCAGACTACCCGGGTCGCCCGGAGAAATCGTAGGAAGAGGCTGCTCTTTCTCTTCCCCCCTCCCTCCGCTGAAAGGCGGGGGCGGGAGGCGCAGAGGCTGCCGGGAATCCCTGCGGGGAGGCGGAGCCCGACGAGACTCCCGATTTACACGAATGGCGGCTCTGCCCGTGCAAAGGGGTCGCGCGCTGGAGGCGAGCGTGGAGACGGGCCAAGTCTTCCCCCGAGGTGGGAGTCCGGGGTCCCATCTTCCGCTGCCGCCCTTTTCCATGCAGGGACCAGGCAAGGGGCCGAGGGGAGCAAAGGAGAGAAAGGGGGATCGCCCGAAGGGAGGGGCCGTTTCCCCGTTTTTCCTGGGGGAGCCTCTGCATGGGGGGGAAGGGGAGGCAGGCCGGATGTCCCCCTGCCGGCTTTGGGTGCAAGTCCGGGGCCCCGAGTGGGAAGACCGGGACTGGGGTGCTGCTTCCCCCGCCTCTCCCCACGACCTCAAAGGGGCTCTGCCGTAGAAAGAGGGAGGCGCAAGTGGGGCTGAGAAGCAGCATTCGCATCCGGTGCCCGAATGGACCGGTGTTTCCCAAACCTCTTTCAAGCCTGGGAGTTGGAGTCCATATTTATCTTCATTTGTCCGTCTTTGGAAAAGCGTGGATGAGGCTAAGAAGTGGGGGACGTGTTTGTCGGAGTTGCATGAATCAGAAGCTCATCTTAGGCTGTCAGTGGTTCATTCATTCGGCTGTTCTCCTCTGTGTATCGGATGGTGGCTTGTTAATTCAGGCTTCTGAAGTTCCCAAAGGGGTTTGGGCCAGAATGATTAATGGGGTTCTGCTGTTTAAAGTTTTACTAAAAGTTCTAATGTTGATTTATTGTCTTATGAAATCGATTGAAATAGCTTTCATCTCAATTGCTGCTGTTTTCTGACCTGAGACATTTATTGTTTGTAGGAATTAGAAATTCAAACCATAATTTAAATGTATTTGTCCAATAGTTTGAGTCTTCGATCAAGAAGGATTTATCAGAATATGTCCCAGCTGTTAAAGTTCAAATACCTAATAGGATTCCTCACTTTCTTCCCTGATTTTAGTGGTTTTATAAGATATTCTTGTTATATTTATTTTCGGGGCGGGGNGTCTGGTTTTTTTTCCTTTCTTGAAGATGGGAACCATATCAGCCCTTTTCCAATCCTCAGGTACATCCCGTGCTGCAGGATTTTTTAAACATATGGTGCAATGGTTCTGAGATAATATCTGCCAGCTCCTTCAGACCTCTGGGATGTAATCTGTCGGGTCCTGGTGATTTATATTTGTCAAGGTCAGATAGATGTTCTCTTATCATTTTCTTGCTTAAAGAGTAAAATAAGCAAGGTCAGGTTAGCATTCAGTTTACAAGTAAGGAGTGGGAGTTTAAGTATGTCTAATAAAAGTTTTTGTGGGAAAAACAATTGCTGTCTTCGCATCTGCTTACTGTACAATAATAAGAAAAGCCCTAACCTAATAATTGTTAATAAGCAAATATAATTGGGAGGATTTTAAGCTTGAATTTACAAGCCCTGCGGGGTTGCAGCTGTTTATTCAAATATTACTGCTGGATGATTCTGTGTCAAAATGGAGAGAAGGCACCAATTCCAATTCTCTGCCAGTTATTGTCCAATGTTTCATTACAAAAATGGAACAGAGTGTCAGTCAAAGAAAAATAGACAATTATTGTACTTTTCTTTTCATTAATGATCTAGCAACATCCCAGTTTCCTTAAATCAGGGGTGTTCAAACTTGGGCTTTTTATGATTTGTGGACTTCAGCTTCCAGAATTCCTTAGCCAATGTGCCTGGTTGAGGGATTCTGGGAGTTGAAGTGCACAAGTCGTAAAAAGGCCAAGTTTGAACACCCCTGCCTTAAATTCTACAGACAGCTTTCCTACTGAAATTTCCTGAGAGTGTATACTATTCAATCCCTAAATAAAACACATTTCTCCTCTTCTTTTTCTCCCCTCAGTATTTTAATTATATGTTATCTTTTCCATAGTTGCTTTCCATCCTTTTGCAGTTCCAACTTTTCTCCAGTCACAGATAAGACGCCGCTTTCCCCTTTTCATTTCTTCTCCAAGGAGCCTCCTTGTGAAGTAAAATTTCTGGAAAATCCTCCAGTTTCAGCTTTCCCCCTATTTTGGAGCAGTTTTTTCTTTCCCTTCAGCGTCCTTTCCTGGGTCCAAAGCAGCTGCTCGGCTTTCCCGGTGTTTCTGAGACATCCTGAGCCAAGAACTGGACAAGGGCAGCTGCAGATACACAACCAGAGGAATAGAAATACATTTTCCCAGTTGTGGCTTCCCTGCCCATGTCTCATCTTCCTCCCCTTCAGGCGGAGTTCACAACAACCGCAAGACACAAATAGTGTTTCCCACAGAGCCTCCTGGTTCTCGTCTTCTGACCGCCCATCAGTTTCTGAGAGGATTTCGGCCCATTTTGAGGCCAATCTCTGGGGAGCCTTCAGGTCGAGTGTTCTTGAGGGAAGCGAGTTGAAATCCTCCAGAGAGATTTTTATCTCCATGTCCACAAAGGGTGCCTGGATAGGAAGATGGAAAAGGCGCCGCCTCTGGAGACACCGAAGCCTTTGAGA